AAAAAAAAAAAAAAAAAAAAAAAAACCTAACTCACACCACAACCCAGTGACTACACAAAAACAAATACCTCCTTTTCCCAGCTCAGACCTCCCTCCCCCTGGGAACCGGCGCCGTCATCAGACCGTGTGTCCTGATATCTCTGCTACCCGGTGTTCGGGCACTCGGTATTTTTTCCCCCAGGGCGGCATTTGTTGCCGTTGGTAGTTTTCTCTTTGTGTAGTCACTGGGTTGTGGTGTGAGTTAGGTGTAGCGTGGCCTCCGCCGGGGCGGGGAACGTGCTTCTTGTGAACTGATCTCTCTAACGCTGGTTCTGAAAGTGTGGCCCCTATCAGCAGCTTCCGCGTCACCCGGGCACGTGTTAGAAATGCAAATTATTGAGTCCCATTCCAGCCCTAAAGAGTCAGAAACCTTCCCAGTGATTCCATTCCTAGTGCTGAAGTCTGAGAACCATTGCTTCAGGAACGGAGTGCCGGGCACATTTTTCGGACCCCTGTAAATATTTCAAGCGCTTTTCTGTAGCTCCCTTACTAGTTTGAATGAATTAACTTTTTCATTTAAAATTTGAAGCTTAACACCAAGATGCACAAATCCCAAGTGTAGAGCTGAATGCGTTATGACAGACGCATGCAGTGTTGAGAGTCCAGAAATGGAATATGGATACTTGTAGATTCCTGTTTATTGGATGAATGAAATGGCTGTTACCTGGGAGACTAGGCCCAGTCCCAGCGGGTTCTGAGTTGAGGGGACGGCGCTGGAGGAGAGGGCCGGGCACCTTTACAGTGAGAGGGTTCGATGTGATTCGGGCAGTCGCGTTTCTCTGGCTTCGTTCCCGGCACTAAAATCTTGGTTCACCTCGAGTGTTGCTGTTTCTGGTGCAGGTGGTTTCACTCATGATGAGCTGCTGAAGGTTTGGAAAGGACTGTTTTACTGCATGTGGATGCAGGACAAGGCCCTCCTCCAGGTGAGCGTATGAGGCGGTAGCGGGAGAAGCCGGAGTAGCCGTGCCAGTGGGAGGACAGATGGGCATTTAAGGTAGCCTCAGACACTGGGCGCACTTTCACAGCTTCGATGCTGGATTTTTTGTTTTTTGCTAAAAAACCAAAAAACTGTGTTTTTTGGTTTTTTTTAATGAAAAATGGAACTACCCTACGACCCAGCAATTGCACGACTAGGCATTCATCCACGGGATACAGGTGTGCTGTTTCAAAGGGGCACAGGCACCCCCATGTTTATGGCAGCGCTGTCGACAACAGCCAGAGTATGGAAAGAGCCCAAGTGTCCACCGAGGGATGAACGGATAAAGGAGATGTGGTATATAGATACGATGGAGTATTACTCGGCCATCAAAAAGAATGAAACCTTGCCATTTGCGACTACGTGGATGGACCTGGAGGGTGTTATGCTGAGTGAAATTAGTCAGAGAAAGACAAACATATAACTTGACTCGTATGAGGACTTTAAGGGACAAAACAGGTGAACATAAAGGAAGGGAAACAAAAATAATATAAAAACAACAGGGAGGGGGACAAAACAGAAGAGACTCTTAAATACAGAGAACAAACAGGGTTACCGGGGGGGCTGTGGGAGGGGGGATGGGCTAAATGGGTGAGGGGCATTAAGGAAGCTACTCCTGAAACCATTGTTGCATTATATGCTAACTGACTTGGATGTAAATTGAAAAATAATAAGTGAGTAGACAAAAAACCCAATATTGTAAAAAACATCCTTTTATATTAAAATTTTTTCAGCGTTTATTTATTTTTGAGACAGAACATGAATGGGGGAGGGGCAGAGAGAGAGAGAGAGAGGGAGACACAGAATCGGAAGCAGGCTCTAGGCTCCGAGCCGTCAGCACAGAGCCCGACGTGGGGCTCGAACTCACGAACCGCGAGATCGTGACCTGAGCCGGAGTCGGATGTTTAACCTACTGAGCCACCCAGGCGTCCCTCTCTGCTGATGCTTCTTGTTGTAAGACCACGTTTCTTCAGGGTCTGAGAGCGGTTTTTACTGTTTACCACGCAGGAGGAACTAGGGAGGACCATTTCCCAGCTCATCCATGCTTTTCAGACCACAGAGGCACGTGAGTATCCCTGCCCTGGGGTAAGGGCAGAACGGCTGAGCGTTGGCTCCCGGACGTGGGAGGCTTGCGTCCTGAGACCTAGAGAAAAGGGAGGTCCCGTTCTGCCTGGCATCTGCTGGTGCTTAACTGCAAAACCCTGCTCTAGGTGTCCGACGGTATTAACCTGTTTATCCACCGTGGACCCAGCTGGAGTCTAAAGGGCCGGTATCTTACGTTTTAAAATAAAAACGGAGACCTAGAAATGGAGACCTAGTGCAGGGTTGCCAAATTGCTTGGCTGAGTCACCTGATAGTTGGGGTGTTCCCTCAGTGTTTCCCTAGCGCTTCTGTTTTTGTCCTGCCCAAGATGCGTCGTTCTCAACCCTGCTGCCTGCCCGCTGTGATCACTGGGGCCTCTTTACAAATCTTGATGTCTAGACCCTGGTCCAGATGAATGTGGCTCTGGCGTTCGGGCCGGGCACCGGCAGTGTTGACCTCCCCACGGTGTTCGGGTGGCCACAGCCGGGGTGGCCCGGTGTCACCCTGTGGATAGTGTGGCCGTTGCTGGTGAGGACCGGGCGGGTTTAGTTCAGTTACACTTACGTGGGTGGAGTAGTTGCAGTTAGGGGTGCACAGGTAGTCGAGGTAACTACATCTGAGCAGACAGCGGAGGTCTGTGTTTTCTCATTTGTTCTCTCTGAGAGCCTGCAGAAGGCCAAGTAGAAAGACTCGCCTGGTGATAGTTGTACGAGTTGGACTTGGGCTTGTCTGTTATTGAAGCGCCTGACCAACCTTTGCTGTTGGAGAAACTTGTCCCAGGAGATCGGGGAGGCCCCACGTGTGTCCCAGGGTCAAGGCGTGGGCAGGGCTGGTTCCCGGAGGCCTTGCTCCTGGGCGTGCAGACACCGTCCTCTCCCCGTGTCCTCACCTGCTTGTCCCTCTGTGTGTCTGTGTCCTGATCTCTTCAAGTCAGATTGGCTTAGGGCCCCCATCGCTCGCCTCATTTTACCTTCGTTCCCTTTTTAGAGACCCGATCTTCAGATAAAGTTATTCCGAGGTCCTGGGGTTAGGGTTCGACGAGAATTTGGAGGACACAGCTCGTAGCACTGTGTGTGACTTCCCGCCATTGGTGGGGTTCTGTGCCTGAGCGGGTTAGGGAATGTGGGGGCCGGGCGTGGGTGTCGGGGAGGGGGCGGGGGGACTGGCTGGAGCCGCTTCTCTGCTGCCGGCTTTGCCAGCTTTCTGTGCCTGTTCTTCAGAGAACGTGGCTGCGGTTTGAGGTTGTAGCTGGGCGCTTGCTTTCTGAGGTCCCTCCTGGTCCCATTTCTAGGCCCGCTTCCTAACACCGCTTCTGAGCTCCGCGGCCTGGGGCAAGGACCCCAGCGGTTGGTTGCGCGTGGCGTCCTGATCGGGTTTCTCCACATTCTCTCACCCCACTTTGCAAAGCAGCATCCGTGTTCCCCTGTGATTCTCTTCTGGCCTTTCTCCTTCAGAGCACCTGTTCCTTCAAACATTCTGGCAAACCATGAACCGCGAGTGGACGGGCATTGACAGACTGCGCCTGGATAAGTTCTACATGGTGAGGAGGCTCTGCGTTCTTCTCTGGGCCCCGCCGTGCCGGCGGCGGTGGGCATGAGGGCAGGTGGGGGAGAGCTGGGGGCACGGCACCGAGAGATGTGGCCTCTGAGACTTTCCTGCCCTGCCTGGGCAGCACGGTGGCCCTGAGGACTGTGACCCGTGAGTCCAGCGGGCCTCGAGGGGAGCACGAGCCCGCGATTCCACAGCGTCTGCCCCATCTCAGGGTCGGTGAGCGTGCAGACGGTTCAGAACGTAATGCACGGGCTTCGGTCTCAGGCAGGGGTGTCAGAGTCACCTGTCTGGGGAGAGTCAGCGGTGCAGCCATCGCATCCCTGCTGGAGAGGCCGTGGACCTGCGAGCCAGCAAGCCTCCGTCGGGTTCGTGCCCGAGACACAGACCTCGGGTCCACGGTGGGCTCCAGCCTGTGATGTTTTCCTCTGCGTGAGGACGATTCATGTGACAGTTGGGTGCAGAATCCCCTTTTTCTTTTCTGTGCTGCATTCCTGCGAACTTCGGTTACTTGTTTGCTCTCAGAAATGCAGGACAAGTGGAGTTTTACGCACTCAGGGTCTTGCCGTCCACTCCCCTCCCCCCCGTTTGAACCGCAGTCTCCTTACTACAGTGGTATCCGCTGGGACTTGGGGCAGTATTGCCGTCTGAGAGCAGGGGACCCAGTGGGAACCCAGTAGGGCATTGGCTGGGCCTCACTGAGGACGGCCCCGTGGGGCTGTAGTTACTCGGGATCGGCTGCCAGCTCAGACTTGGCCCAGGGCTGCGTGGACACTGTGTATCTCAGATGTCAGGGTGAGGACCAGCTAGCGGGCAAGGCCCGGAGCCCAAGTAGGAAGGAGGGTGGACGCTAGGGCAGTCGGGGTGGGGCCAGGGCCCGAGCCGTGCACGTGCACAAGATGCAGGTTTACAAGACAGAGGAGCTTCTGTGTAAGTCAGCTCCCCGTTCCCTGAGATGCAGTTGCCGCGACCTTGGAAGGATGGCTTCTGTTGCTTGGTGGGGGCCCGTGTGAGCGCGCCCAGCAGCACAGCCCCCTGTAGAGGCCAGCCCTCTTGGTGGCGCCGCCAGCCCCAGGAGTGATGTCACATGAGACCCCGTGTTCCTAGGCACGGGTCTTCTGGCTGCCAGCTGTGCCCTGTGCACCCTCTGTCCCTTTACCACTGCCGGACCCCTCTGCGGGCGTGCTGCTCGGCCTCTGGACGGTGGGGAAACCGGGTGGAAAGGCTGTTGCAGCGGGAAGCGGGGAGTTGTGGGGGGGAGCCGGGACCTGATGTGAAGGCGAGAGAGCGAGCGAATGCTTCCATTCTGTCGGGCCAGCAGCCCTCGGGGGGCCCAGAGGGGCCGTTCTCCGTTTCAGACCTGGTTTTCCCAAAGCGCTCTGCCTCCCCAGGGGGGACCCACGCCTGGTTCCCTGCTCCCACCCCTGAAACGAGGACACTTCCGTTTGGCTTTTGTTGGTGGTGCTGCCGGTGCCCCCGGATGTGTCCACTGTGAGCTGGAATTCCGGGTGCTCTTGGAAGGTGGGAGCATCCCAGCCTGGGGGCAGCGGCGTATCCTCTGGACTCAGGGTCCTGAAGCTTGGTGTCCTGTCCACCAGCAGCTCTGGGGGGCCTGCTGTGCGCTCTGGGCCACAGAGACGACCAGGGTGGAGGGGATTCTGGGAAGTCGGGGCCTTGCTCCCACTAACGGGGGTCTCTGTTCATGCCACAGCTCATGCGGATGGTCCTGAACGAGTCCTTGAAGGCCCTGAAGATGCAGGGGTGGGAAGAAAGGTTGGTACTCATGGTGCATCCTGAGCCGCTGTGCTTCTCACGGGCGAGCCCACGTTCCTTCCCTGGGGGTTGGGTCACGTGCCTCTTCTTTAGCTCTCTGTCATAAAGAGACGTCAGTCTTCCCGTTAAAGGGTGACCCGGTGGTGCTTCATAGGAAGGCATTTGTAACATCATAGTTGGTTCTTGTGTTCTCAGAAGTGAACGTTTTCAGCCTCGATGGTGAGTTCTTACTCTGAATCCCAATTGAGTTCTCTCATTGTAAATAACGTAGTGTCATTTCTCAGTATAGTTAACGCACAGCCAAGGTGGTTGTTTTTGTTTTTTGTTTTGTTTTCATACGGGGTGGCATAGTTGGCTCTGTTATCAGTGGTATTTGCTTCCAGTCACAAAAATTTTTGACTCATTCAGACTTGTCACTTTTGACAGTGGTGCTTGTGATGGGGGAAGTCCGTGTCCCCCACATTAAGAGGCCCCCTCGGTCTGTGGCCGGCCTTGGGCTCCCCCGGCCTCCGGGCTGGGGGGCTGTGCCGAGCCCCAGCCCTCCTCCACCCTCCTGGGCCCGCCGGGACCACGCCCGGCAAGGCCACCTCGGCCGTGCCTCCCAGGTATGGCACCACTGTCTACACCTTCAGGAGGCAGGCCGAGGTCTGCGGCTCCAGATGGGTTTCTGAGCTGCCATTTTAAAGCTTTTAAAATTAAAACTGTTTCTTTACACTTTTTTCTCATTGTGAGAGTGACACTTCCCTGTATAGGAACTCAGAACACATTTAAGGTGCTGAACAGCAACAGGTAACGACCTTTAAGGTTCTGCGGTGTTCTGTGTGCGGGGCACAGAGGGGCGTGGAGCAAACACCACGTTTGCAGAGCGCTTTTTTATTTCACTGATGATGCATCGAAGACACCCCCTGTGTCCCGTGTTCTGCTGCAAGGTCTGGGGAGCGGGGAGGGTCAGAAACAACATATTGTGAGTGGTTTCGTGATTAAGAATCGTATGTATGCTAAAGTGCTCATTTCAAGCATGCGGACCCTAAAACCAGTGCCACTGGCCTAGCTGCTACACCAGGCATGTGTCCCAGCCCAGGCAGTGCATCTTCTGGAGAGTAAGGGGACGTCCTTGCCTCTGGCCTGCGTTTTCCCAAAGAAACGTGGATCAGCAGGAGTGGACCGTAGTTCCCTGATTATGAGTGACTTCATGTTTAGGGCAAGGGTGCCTCTGCTTTTGAGTGATTTTCATCCTTTACTTCTGGGGGGGGGGGTGCCCGGGGTCAGGCGCCCACCAGACGGGACTCAGGATTTCAGTCCCCGTAGGTGGCTGGTGCCTGAGCAGAGGGGCATGTTAAAGGGACGTCTTGCTTCTGTTAACTCTTCGGTTTATCATTGCGAGAGTAGTTCCAGCCTCGTTGTGGGGAATTGAATGCAGAGGTCCTCTTGAACAAGCTGGTAGCCTCCCATCAGCCTGGGGTCACCAGTGCTGTCCGCCCCAGCTGTCCTTGCAGCCTGTCCCCGTTCTCGCGCTGCCGGATGGCGCCGGTTGCCTGGCAACGTTCGTTACTGGCACTGGCCTGGGAGGAGGGGTCCCGGGGCTGAGCCGCAGACAGCATCCTTTCCTAGCCAGCGAGTCCCCGTGCGGCCAAGCGTCCACTTCAGCCGCGGAGCTCGTTAAAGAAGGCGCGTTTTACAATTCAGGTGAAGGGAACGCTACGTCACTCCGCACCTCGATGTGTCGGGACCATCGAAGGCTGGTCGCCAGGGCTCTCTGACCTTGGAGCCCCAGGCCTCAGACTACTGAAACCAGCATGCTAGGGGAGGGCAGACGTGGTCTGCCCGGGCCACGTACTCCATGCAGTGGAACCGGGGAAGCGGCTCTTCCCCCTCGCTGGCCTCCCCTCCTTTCTTTGCCCTGTCCTGGCGTTCCTTCCCCGCGAGGACGGAGCCATGTGAGACGTGGTGGTGCGGCCTCTTGTCACTCCAGGCCCCCGGCATGGTGATGGAAGGGAAGGCCCTCGTTGCTGAGATTGTCTTGCCACGTGCGCTGGTGCCGACAGTGGTCCCACGTCTGTAATGACGAGTCCTTTGTGCTGGAACAGACCCGCCCGGGTCACCAGGTCGGCACTGACGGAAAGCGGCACGTTGGGAGGATGGGCGCTTGCCTGTCACCGTGCCCCGTCAGAGTTCCGCTTCAGGTAGAGGGACCTCACTGGCTCGTGGCCGGCTGTGGCCGCCTGCTGTACCTGCCCGTCTCCGTCCTCAGGCAGGCGGAACGGCTGCTGGAGCTGCTGACGACAGAGATCCTGCACCCTGACAGCCAGGCCCCCAGCGGGGTCAAGAGCCACTTCCTTGAGATCTTCCTGGAGGAGCTGAGCAAAGTGGGCGCCGCGGAGGTGAGGGCGGCGGGCCGAGGGTGGCGGCCGAGCCCCTCACCTGTGCTCAGGCACGAGGGCCTCAGGCCACGCCTGTCTCTCCTCGTAGCTGACGGCGGACCAGAACCTCAAGTTCATCGAGCCCTTCTGCACGATCGCCGCTCAGACTAAGGAGTAAGTGGCAGGGGCTTCCTTCGGCCGGTTCTTTCTCGCTGAATTCCCCGGATGCCCACCTCCGGGAAGAGAGGCTGAGTCCTGTCCGGGTGCATGACAGGGCCACTGGAGGGTGGCTGCCGTGGGCGGGGCTGGATGGATGGGCGCGACCTAACTGGCCTGCTCCTGTGCGGCTGCCCCTCAGCTCCCTGGTCTTGCATAACATCACTCGGGGCGTCTTTGAAACGATCGTGGAGCAGGCCCCGTTTGCCATCGAGGACCTTATGAATGAGTTGGAGGCACCAGAGGAGGAGGAGGGGATGTCGGAGGACGAGTGGGAGGAGGACGTGCCGTCCAAGGAGCCACGGAGAGGTGAGGGTCACAGCGCATCTGGTGTGCCGGCACCCGTCCTGGCCCGGCAAGCTTCGGTGCCTGCTGGGGTTCCCACATTCGCCTCTGGCCTGGTCCCCTTGTTCCTGAGCTTACCCCCAGCTTTTATCCGTGGCCCAGCAGCCGGGTTGACTTCCAGAAACGAGCACGTGTGTTTTTCCTCTCCAGCCTCCCTTTCCCAGGATGCGATCCTGACTCCCTGGCTCCTTTCTGACTTACGGTTCCTCCCCACTCACCCTTCCTCTCTGGTCCCAACCCTCCATCACTGGGCCCACCCAGACCACCCTGTTTAAACAGCCTCCCAGCCCCTGCCTTGGCTCGCTCACTGGGTTTCCCCACAACACATCTCATTTTCTGGGATAAGTCACTTAGATAAATGACGTTTGTCATTTGTGGCCCTTTCTCCCCACCGGACGTGGGCTCCCCCAGGACGGCAAGTGTTGTTGATCACAGCTGCGTCCCCAGTGCCGGGAGCGTCACTTGGCAGAGACGAGGTGCCCACGAGCCGGGGTGGGTGGGTGAGTGAGTGGATGGAGCGTACCACTGGGAAACCTGCCACGGGGGATGTCCCGGGGAAGGGCTTTGGGGTCTGTTCACCGCCTCGATGCTCATGTGGGTCCTTGTGGGACGTCAGTTGATCTCAGGTGGCCTGTGGCCTCGGTTGTGGCCTGTGGCTGTAGGCGTGCGTCTGCCGCCAGCTTTAGGACTCTGCCTGCCTCTGACTCTTTTTGTGCGAAAATATGCGTTATGTGAAGCTTGCTACATTAACCATCGTTAAGTGTTCAGTTCGGTGGTGGTAAGCGTGTTCACACTGTTGTGCGGCTGTCCCCACCATATTTCTGGAACTTTCCATTTTTCCATACTGAAACTCTGTCCCCGTTAAACACTGACCCCCTCCCCTCAATGGCTCCCTCCCCAGCCAATGGTGCCCACCATCCATTCTCTGTCTCTGTGACGCTGACTGCTCTGGGCCTCATATAAGTGCGTCCCACGGGATTTGTCCTTTTGTGGCCGGCTGATTTCACTCAGCATCACGTCCTCGAGCACATGTCAGTTTCTTTTCTTTCTCTTAAGGTTGAATAGTGCACCACCGTGCATAGACCACGTTATGGGTGTCCAGTCACCCATCGAGGGACCCTTGGGTTGCGTGCACATTGTAGCTACTGTGAAGGAGTCTGCAGTGAACATGGGTGAACAGGGATTGCTCGGAGTCCCTGCTTTCAGTTCGTGGGGGCAAATGCCCTGAAGTGGGATTGTGGGATCATACATCATTGTTTTTAAAATTTTGGGGGGACCCCCTCCATGCTGTTTCCACAGCAGCTGCACCGTCTTGCATTCCTGCCAACAGCGCACGAGGGGACCCATGTCCTGTTTTGCTGGCGGGAGCATCCCCGTGGGTGTGAGGGGGTGTCTCGCTGTGGTTTTGGTCTGTGTGTCCCTGATGATCAGGGATGTGAACACCCTTAGGCACTTGGTGGCCGTCTGTGTGTCTTCCCGGAGATGGGTCTGCCCTAGTCCTTTGTTTTGGGCAGGGGAGGGTGCCCTGTGCCACTGAGTGTTAGGCCCTGTGTGTTTTGGACACTCACGCCTTGTCGGGTTTGTGATCCGCAGATATCTTCTCCGTCTGCGCGCTGCCCTCTGGGTAGTGGCTTTAGATGCACGGAAGTTTTCATCATCACAAAGTTCAATTGCCCTGTTCCCTGTGTCTTGTGGGCCACACCTGAGAAGTCCTCGCTGCGTCCAGTCTCGTGAGGGCCTTGCTTTATTTACTTCTCAGAGTTACGCTGTTTGGCTTCTTACACGTGGGTCTTTCACCTACTTCCAGCTGATTTTTGTTTATGGTGCTAGGTCAGGACCTAGCTTCGTTCCCTTGCACATGGATGTCCCGTTTTCCCAGCACCGTCTGTTGAAGAGCCTGTCCTTCCCCAGTGAGTGGTTCTAGAGCCCTTATGGAAGCTCATTTGACCGCGTAGATTCAAGGGTTAATATCCGCCCCCTGCCAGCTCTTCACGCCCCCAGTGGAGCTCTCCTGGTGGCTGTGTTTGTGCCCCCAGCGTTTATCCGGCCATCTTGTGTGTCTTGCCCATCCTTTTCCTCTGTAGCCGAGTCGCCCCGACACAGGCAGGTTTAGTAGTCTCCTGGAGGGCCCCCCGAGCCTGCCTGTGGCCCTGCCGTCCCCCTTCTCTGTCCTGCCTGCCTGCCTGTTGTCCAGAACCATGCTGTAGGTAGGCCGTGACATCATAGCCCCGAGCGATCTGAACACTGTCTCTGCGGCCCCTTGATCCGGGGCTCTCCCGTGGTGGCATCTAGCACCCCTCTTCTTTGTCTCTGGAACTTCTGACGCTACGTTGGCTATGTAAGATGCCCGCTCGTAATTCTTAGTTTCGCTCTAAGGACTGCTCAGGCCCCGCCGCCTTTGGGACGTTGCTTTCATTTCCAGGCCTGCAGTGGCACCTCACCCCTCGGTGTGAACCCCCACCCCAGCCTGCACCTACCTCTGCCCAGGTCTTGGGCCCTGGTGCACGGGGCTCCAGGTTCCCAGGTGTTTGTGTTGGGGTCCTCTGCACCCTGGGTGTGTGCACCTGTTCACGGGGGCCCTTTTGTTCTAGGCTCTCTCCACGGGGCCGCACCTGACACGAGCGAGGAGCCAGCAGGAGATGGCGAGGACAGCATGGGCCCCGTCCTCCAGGTGGGTGGCCTGTGATCGGGGCCTGGCTCCGCCTCTGCTCTCCAGGAAGGCGGGCGCTCCAGCCCCTCACGTGCCGAGTCACGGAGTCCTTGCAAGCGGTGTGCTCCCTGTTCGCCTCTTGGAGCACTAGACCCATGAGATAGCACTGCCGATGGGTCACCTTTTGTGTTGCGCTCGGGGTCAGAACCCTGCAAACAGGACCTGTGACTTCAGGCCCATTGGAAACGTACACTTCCTACTGACTTTTCAAACGTTGACTACTTGTTAAAGGAGTAGGAATTAGGTGTATGGCCTAAGTAGCATCTGTCAGAGTTGAACTAGTGTTTTTGCTCATCTTGATGTGGCTGCCCGGGGCGCGGCGGGGGGGGGGGGGGGGCCACAGAGAGGCTGGCCTGGGTGGGCCCTTTACATTGTCAGCAGCGCTGGGGTCCTGCTCGCTGCCTCATGCCTTGTACGTGGTGTTAGCGGAGGGGACTCGGGAGGACGTCATCAGGACCTGTCCTTGTGACCCCATCGGAGAGTCTGCATGTGGTCTGCGTGCTCTCTCTGCTCGGTGTCCGCTCCCAGAGCAGCTGGGAGGTGACTGGTGTCTCTTTTTGGGCAACAGTTTGACTATGAGGCTGTGGCCAGCAGGCTGTTCGCGGCGGCCAGTCAACAGGACACCCCTTCCCAGAACAGGAAGCGCCTCTACAAAGTGATCCGGAAGTAAGTTGCCCTTCCCTCTGTCCTTGGCGTTGCCCTCGCTCCTTTGGCCTGGTGCCTTCCCTCCGTCCCGACCTCAGAGCACTGGTGGGGGGCTTCATCGCGGGCGGCCTGGTGCAGAGATGGGCGCGGCCTCCGCCCTCGGGCAGCGGCTGTGGCCGTGCTGAGTGCCTGTCTTTCCTTGCAGGTTGCAGGACCTCGCTGAAGGTGAGCATCTCGCGCCGGGACCCCGGCCTTTCTCCTGGACGTGCACTAGCTCGCGTGGTCACCCTCACGGCTTGACTGGTCTCCGGAGGCGGGGCTCTGTCTGGGGAAGAGGGGGCCCGAGGGGTTCTGCGCTCGCCCTAGCCCAGTGCTGTGGCTGTCAGCCCTGCACGTGTGCTAGAGCCCCGGGGGCTTGTGACGCTCTGCTGGCCCCCCGGGCACGGCGGCCCGAGAACCTGCATTTCTAGTGAGTTCCCAGGCCTGCCCTGCTGCTGGCACGCTGTGTGGCAGACGGTAGCAATTCTCAGTGCGTGGCTGAGGGGGCTGGTAATGAGGCTTCTTCTGAAAGGTGTTTTCTCGGCTTATGACTGGAGACGGGCATGACCCCCATTTCGCTGTGAGAACTTTTAAACGCAGAGCGACGTCGGGAGGGTGTCCAGTTCTGCCATCAGTATTTACTGTCCCTGCTGTGTCACATGTCTCCCTCTTCTTCCGTCCCACCGTAGCCCCAACTACTTTGTGCGCACCGTGAGCTGAAGTGTGGTATTTTTAGGTAAAATTCATGCACGTACGTGCGTGCGTGTTGCGTACGTCTGGGTGTCACAGGCGCTGTCCCCGTCAGCATAGAGAACATCGCCATTGGCCCGGAGGGCGATCTTGGCTCCCTTTCAGCATGAGGTTTTTAGGGAATGGGTCACGACCCACCATCAGTGCTGCAGGAACCGCCCCCCCCCCCCCCACTTCCTGCTGGCGCGGCTTCGAGCCGGTCGTGGCTGTGGGGGCATGAACACGGTCTTCCCACTCGCGGCGCCTGGAGGTGGACCCTGCATGGTGGTTTGCAGTCCTGAACGCGCACTGACAGCATCACAACCTGCCTTTTGCCTCCTGATCACCTGCCTTGGTCCCTAGGGCTCTTCCCTGAGGATGACGTTCCGGAAAAAGCCTGCAGGAACCTGCAGGAAGACAGGCGGGAGAGGAAGACGAAGAAGCGTTTGCCCAAATCTGCGTTTCAGAACAAGGCAGGTAGGATTCGTGCCTTGGCGCTAACCTTGGTGTTCACCCACGGTGCTAACCGTCTCAGGTCCTGGCATCTACCCTTTGAGGGGTGTCCTGGGTCGCCACTGCTTCTGCCCGTGCCCAGGCCACCTCCCCCCGTATTGGCTTGTGCCCGGGCCCTTGCTGCAGTCAGTGGCCCAGCTCGTGCAGCGGTGCTAGGCTGGACGCCGGACCCAGTCTGCCCCATCCTGCGTTCCGGGCCTCCTCACCCCTCGGGTCGCATGTTTGTGGCCGCCTCCTCTCTCCTGAGTCTGTCAGCTGGCTTTCCTGGAGGTCTGCTTCCGGTCCTCCTGCCCGGCCGGGAGCCACCATAAATAGCCTCGCTGGTGCCCGATGGCTGTGGCACTTGACCTCCACGCTCCTGGGACGCTCCTGAGCCCGTCGGTGCTTCTGTGTGGGCTCCCTTTGTGTGGAGGCCCCGGAGGCCGCAGCGTCTTTGGTCCGGGTGGAAGCGAGGCAACCAGGCCCCGGCGCCTTGTTCACGTGGCCTTGCTGTTGTAGGGAAAGGCGGTGAGGAGGACTCGTGTCCAGACCTGAGCTCCGGAGCTGAGAGGATGGCGAGGCGGCAGGGCTCGGGGGCTGAGCGCACCGGGCCCCAGGAGCAGCCCGGGGGCCCTGTTGGGAGAGGGGCTCGGAAGAGGCGGCGGCGGCGGCGGCCTCGGGCGGGGGCCAGAGCGAAGGTGACCGATTGCCAGGACCTGCGGATGAGGAGGCGGCGGCCGCCACGGAGCGGGAAGTGACCCCGGCAGGCCCCGCACGTGCGGGGAGGCCCTTCGCTGCGGCCCCTCCGTCTCGTGCTGAGGCAAGCGGGGGATCGGGGCCGCAGGGCCCCGCTCCTAAGACCGTGTCCCGATGGCAGCGGCTCCTGACCTGCTGTGTCGGCAGAGGGTCGGGCCCCTTGCTCGGTGGCCGTGCCCCAGGTCCGAAAGTGCTGGCGCCGTGCTGACCTTGGTCGGGAACCCCCGAGACGTGAAAGTGCCCTGCAGACCCTCTCCCTGGGCCAGTGACCCGCCACACCCCGGGGCGTCCATGAATAAAATGCTGTGCAGGTCTTTCCAGCAGAGTCCCGCTTCTGGTGCATTCGTGCGGGAAGAGTTCCAGTGGGGAAAACTGCTAGGTGCTTGTTCCCAGTAGCGTTTGTATCTCGTACCCATTTTGTGGAGAAAAAGTTCAGACACGTCTCGAAATTTGGGAGAGGACACCGAGCGTTAATTGTGGTTTTCTGGACAACCTCTTCGTAAACTTGTGTTTGGAGCTGACAGTCAGCAGCCGGGCTGACACAGAGCCGACTACTGCTTGGTTGGTGTGTCCAAGGCAGGGAGGTTGGCTCTGCTCATCCCTCAGCCCTGACTTGCCCCCGTCTCCCTTCAGCGCCTTTAAATTCAGCGTCGGCCCTGCTGCTCATCCTGGAGGGTCTGAGGCAGTCGTGTGTTGCCGGAACGTGACCGGGACCCTGACCAGAACCGGGGTGCCATGAGAAGCCCCTGGCCCAAGAATGCGGATTAGGAGGACCGTAGGTGTGAGTCAGTGCCACGTGGGTCCCTGGCGGCCTCCGGGCTCGGGGCTGTGTGGGTGACAGGTGGGCACCATCTGGGTCGGCCCGCCGGGTCACTGCTGAGCTGAGGTGTGTGGGTGAGCCCAGCAAGGGGACCGCACGGTCTCTCACTGAACCCCGGTTCCTCAAGCCTGCTGCACGCGAGGGCCGGTGGCCCCCGGTGGCCCCATTCAGTCAGTTCAGCTGGGTGGGCAGAGCCAGGGGCCGACGGGGCGGGCCCCTGGACCCTGGAGGGCACGGTTCCTGCTGTGCAAAGTGACTTGGAAAAGCAGCACATCCCACCCAGAGCTCGGGCCCAGGCAGGGGCCAGGCGGACGTTGCTGAGGCCTTGTTTCTCCCCCAGCCGTTGGTGCCGTTTTGTGTGTGTGGCGGGGACGGCCTGTGCTCTGTTGTCTCGGCCGAAATTTCTTTGGTCAAAAGGTAAGGAAACAGCCACACGCGGAATTTGTGAAGAAACGAAAATCCGACCAGATCGTAGCCCTCAAACAAGAGGATCTGTGGCTTCCTCAGTGCTGTTTCCAGGTGGTTCTCCTACCACGCTGTGGTCCTTCCCTTACCAACCGCGTCGTGTGGACGATGTGACCGTTGGCGCGCTGGCCAGCCGTGGGCGGCTTGCGGTCGCTCCTGCATCTGCCAGCGCCCCTCCCTGTCAGGACGGGCTCTCCTTGGGCCAAACAGGGCAACCTCAAGAGGAAACGGAAGGTGACCGCCACCCAGTGCCCCCAGGAGAGCCTGTGTCCAGAAGAGGACGTTGTGTTTATTACTTGTGTATTCTTTTTCTAGAATCACTTTACTGAGCTTTAACTCACAGGCATTATAAGTCACCTCCATCAAGCGTAGGGCTCCGTGGGTCAGAGTTATGTAACCATCCGCATTCCAGCCTTTGTCAAAGAAACCAGTGTCCTTGAACTGGCCCTCTCGCGGCCCCCACCGCCACCCCAGCCCCTGGCCAACCCGCACCCATTTTCTGTCTCCGTGTTCTGGACTTTCCATGTAGATGGAATCATCCGGTGTGGGTCTTCTGCGTGCGGTTTTTGGTGCGGATGTTTTCTGTGTGCATCCGTGTCGTCCCACGTCGTCTGGGCCAGGACTTCATTCCCTGTGTGGCCGAGTAATGTTCCACCGTGTGGATGCCCAAGTGTCACCTGCTGTCCGAAAGCACAGTGTTCCTGTGAGACCTTTCTTCAGCCGAAACGGCATAAAGCAAAACAGTTACCGTTAATTTACGTGGAAAGTTTTTTGGGAGTTTCCAGACCCCAAATCTCTTGTGATTCTACTCCCCGGGACTTACTTTGCTAATGGAGACCCAAAATCAGTTGTGATCGAGCCCAGGTGCTCACGGACACCGCTCAGAGCTGTGGCGGCTGGAGGCTGACACGGGTCCCGGGAAGGAGGTTGGCGGGGGCCGCGCCTGCTGCTGGGGTTCGCGCCGCCTCTGTTACAGCTCGCTGCGGAACCAGTGCTGGATGCTCTTCCCGCTTTTTGTCTTTTTTTCCCTACATGCAGAAGTCTTCAGATTGAGTCTGATTAGCAAGAACTGGTACTGACAGGTGTTTCGTAAAAGCGAAGTGGAGGATGCCTCCACCGCATTTCCGTTTACCGTTTGTGTGTGGGGCGCCTGTGACCATTAGTGCCGCTGTAGACACGCACGAGCTTCTGCGGGGACCCGCTCTCGCTCCTCGGTGTGTACCCAGGGACAGAATTGCTGGGTCGGGCGGTAGGTGACTCCTTGACCTGCCTGAAGACCCGCCGGGCTTCTCACAGTCGCCACACCTCCTGATGTTCCCACCTCTGGACGGGGCGCAGCTTTAGGCGGGCGCTCCCTGGTGCCGCTTGACCTGTGAGCCTGTGGCGTGCCCTTGGCGCCACGGCACCACGGCTGATCAGAGCGGACTGATGGCCATGAGGGTGCCTTGCGGCTGCAGAGAACCCGCCTGGCCCCTGTGCGGGGGTGCACTCCGGACTGTCTCACCCCTGCCCCTGCCTGGTCCCGCTTGGACCTGACTGGCTCAGCCGTCCACCTGTGTGCTGTCGGGCAGGAGACAGTCACTCTGAGCCTTCACTGACCTATCTGTGAAATGGGGGTAACATGGCCGGGCTGGGGATTATATTGCTGTTTTTTCCAAGGCAGCCTGAAACTTACAGAGGAGTCACAAACGCGATGAGCGTTTTTCACCCAAACCGCTTGAGAGTTGTGTGCTGACTTGATGCGTATCACCCGGAATACTTTAGGTGCATTTTCTGCAACCAGCATTCTCTTAACCACACACAGTCATCGAGTCAGAATTAGCATGGGCCCCTCTGTGCCATCGAAGCCTCCGGTCTGTTCAGCGATGCCTTCTGCAGCCACGAGACCCCATCTGGAGTCACCCGCGTCTGATTCTTGTTTCTCTTCAGCTTCCTCTGAACGAGACTAGGTCCTCCGCCCTTGTGTACCATCCAGGACCTGGATGTCGGGTGGATCTCAGGCTGGCGATTCTTTTTTTTTTTTTATTTAAAAAAAAATTTTTTTTTTCAACATTTATTTATTTTTGGGACAGAGAGAGACAGAGCATGAACAGGGGAGGGGCAGAGAGAGAGGGAGACACAGAATCGGAAATAGGCTCCAGGCTCTGAGCCATCAGCCCAGAGCCTGACGCGGGGCTCGAACTCACGGACCGCGAGATCGTGACCTGGCTGAAGTCGGACGCTCAACCGACCGCGCCACCCACGCGCCCCTCAGGCTGGCGATTCTGTACATTGTCCCCACTGTGGGTGACTGGTGGTCCCTTGCGTCTAGACTCGGGTCACCCCTCTCGGCAGGAATCAGAAACAATGCTCGTTCTCCCCGTGTCCTGCCCGGGCCTCCACTTTCCACCTGCCCTGGTGTGGAGGCACCTGCTTGTGAATGTGGCCTCTTCCCTTGGTTGCTAACGGTGTGTGTGGCAAGGGCCTCCGCGGCCCCCAAACGGAGCTTCTCGCCAAACTTCATTTGCTCCCTGGTTGACTTACATCGGTGGCTCATGGTTTTCTGTTTTATCTTGTGGGTTGTAATCTGTCCCTGCCACTTATTCTAATAGCATGTCCCGTTTGGGCCAGTGGGAGACTTCAGGCTGGCTTCTGCTCCCCGTAAGGAGCCCCCACCACCCCTCACCTTTGTCACAGTAAGAATCCTCAGCCCTGGGACTGGCCGCTTCTCCACAGAGCACTGACTCGATTGACGGTACAACCCTGCCCGGCTCGGGAGGAGCTGGTGTGGACGAGGGCCTACTGGAGTCCCTTCATCTTGCGTTCTGCCACCACGTCACTGAGATGTACCTCACGCGGCGTTCAGTTCTCCTGCTTAAAGTGTCCTGTCCGGGGGTTCTTCATGTATCCGCAGGGGCGTGCCTCCGTCACCACGGGCCAGCATGGGACATTTGTACCCATCCCCCCAAAGAAACTCCATAGTGGGGGGCCTCTTAACTTGGAGAAAGCCTGTGTGAGGCTTCTGGACCAGCAGGAGCCCCCGCCAAGAGGTGGTGATGGGTTGTTGCTCACAAGGCTAATAAATGAATTTATAGTTTTCTCGAACCACTAAGAGGTCTGGAACACATACAGCTTGTGTCTGAGGCGACCTGAGGAATTCTCTCCTGGGTGCTTACACAGTAGCTCTGGGGGTCAGTGGTCAGGTAGGGGCCTCTCGGGACCCTTTGCCTCCTCTGTGTCAGCAGTACAAGTAGGTGGGACTGGAGCTTTGGTCCGGGGCACGTGGGCTGCCCCTGTGCCGTGGGGTCTCGGCTCACCGACCTCGGAGATAAGTCTCGTCCCTGCCTCGCCTTGCTTGGCAAGGCAGGCCTGGCCTTGAATCAACCGGACGGGAGGGCTCGTGTCAGCCAGGGCCGCCTCTGAGTTAACTGCTCATCGGTCACTACCGTGACCCAGAACTCCCGTTTTAGCCACAACCAGCAAGGGGTCAGGCCCGCTGCTTCGCTTTTGTAATGAGGACCGGCGGGTTGGGTGGCAAAGCAGGGGGCAGCTTTCACCCAGGGCAAAGAGACACCAGGGCTGCGAGGGAGGGGGTTTGGTTGGGGGTGAGGGGCGGTCAGGTGAGGGGGTCCTGTGTGCTGAACGTTCAAGCAGGGGCGTGACCAGCCAGGGACGTTCAAGCAGGGGCGTGACAGTTTTGCACCTGTCCCGTTGGTAGTGGGATAGGGGGTGAATTTGGGGACAGTCCTGCCAGCAGCCCTAGGTTGGGATGCCTTCTGGCCAATGTCTTGGGTAGGTCCGGCCTTTACACACACTGCCTTATAAAAATAGCCTCTTAATCACTAGGGCCTGGCAGCAAAGGCCAGTCTCCTCATCCCCAGCCCAGAAGTTCCCCACATGGGCAGCAGGGTTTCGATGGAGGACCCAGACTCCAGGTGGTTGTGGACTTAGTGGGGTGGAGGGGCGGATGCAGGGGAGGTCCCATCCTGTGGCCTGTACCCTGTAGAAGAAAAAGGAGGGTCCTGGGGGGGGGAGGGGTCTATGTGCTGCTCACCGCCAGCCAGTGTGGGGGAAGGACTGAGGCTCCAAGTCCCAGCCCGAAGCCTGTGAGGATCAGTTAAGTCTCAGATGGGGACGTCTCCCCAGACGACCTTTCTACTGTGAAAAGCCATGCCAACCAGCTGACCCCAGCAGTGGGCGGGCTTGGAGCCTGTTGAAAGGGGCCGCTCAGCTGGTAAATTGGGCTGATTTTCTTTCCCAAACCGGATTTGGCTGGAGGGAGCTGTGTCAGGCGGTGCCTGGTCTCCCCGTAGCAGCTGTGCCCGGGAATCTTGACTTCCCTTTTCAGTCCGGTGTCACCGCACGTCCCTTTCCCATGGATTCTTTTGCTTTGAGCTGGTGATCAGCCAGGCTTGTCCGCTGTGGGGTTGCACCGAAGACGGCTCTGCTTGAGCACCGCGTGCAAAGGCACATACTCACTTACGTCTCTGTCCACCTCCTGAGCTACCTACCTACCTGCCGACCTGTCCCTTCCACCTACCTACCAGCCGTCTGCCCTCTTCATCTGTCTCCCTCCATCCATTTACCTGCCCTTATCCTGTCCGACACCCTCCCTCCGTCCCTCCCTAAGTGAAGAAGAACTGGAAATTCTGTCTGAAGTAACCTGTCCCCGCACCCCGCCAGTGTCGGCCCCCATGCGGGCATCCTCCATGGAGTAGCCTTGTTTGCATGGAGCTCTCTGTCCTGATGTGGGTGAGGGGCAGGGTAGAGGTGTAGGGAGGGTAGTCTAGCCCCCTCTGGTGGCCGCTGGGGATGTCCCCTTCCCCATGTCATCCCATCCCATCCTTTTTGGGACCCGCCACGGGGAGCGGGTGCTGTCCCGCCACTGGCCTCTGGGGGCGCCCGTGACCCTCAGACGGGCTTGTCTAGTCCCTAGTCCCTCCAGCCAGGTCATGGGGGTGCTGCCCCACCTCCCCTTATGGCCAGTGGCCAAAGCCCCCAACTTGTTCTTTTCTTTGAATGGAGCCCTGAAGGTGCCTCTCAGGGATGGTTCCCTGCAGTCACGGGCCTCCTGGCGCTCGCCCCCGTGCCCTGGGTGGGTGGGCTGAACCCTGGGTCTGTCTGATGGGGATGGGCTGCGTGGGCCCTCGCTCTTCCCGGTCGGCCCAGCAGCCCACCTTGTCCTCCAGGCCCCAGGATGGACACAGGCCCTGAGGTCCTGGCTCTGCTCTTAGGTGGCTGGTGTCCATGTAGCTGGCTCAGAGGGCATCTTACCCCAGCGTGGCCGGCCCCACTGGTGAGGCCGACATGGGGGCTTCCTTTCTGAGGGGCCTCAGGAGCCCAGACCTCTCCTTCCAGGGGTTGGCCCGGAGCAGCTGGCAGAGCTCCAGGCCACCATACCGCACGCTCGTCCCTGTTCTGGACCCTTCAGACTCCTCGCTACCCATGGTTGGGAAATACACCCCGGGAGGAAGCTGCCCGGGGCCCTCTTGGCTGGCGCTACAGACCTTGAAGGCGTATGTGAGGGCGGGCAGGCAGCCCCACACACTTGGCAGCAGGCTTGTGGCCCCAGGGCCTGCAGCTCTGCCCACCTCTTGGAAGCCTCTGGATTCGTGGGGTTGGAGAGTACAGGCAGAGGAGTGTGGCCCTGAGGGCCAGTGGGAGGCGGGTTTAGGGGGTGGGGGGCGGCGGGTGCTCGGGCCCACGTGGTGGGTGCTCCTCTGAGGTCGGCAGACCGAGAGGTGTCTGGTCCCTCCTCGCGTGGGTCCCTAACCG